TAATAAGGAATAGAGGGTGAGTAAAGCAAATCAAAAGGCAAAGAAAATGAATAAAGATTTAAAGCCTCAAATCTCTAGACATTATTCTAGGGCCCCCCCCCTAAATAATGTCAGAAAGCTGCTTGCTGGACTACCCGCTTTGCTTGAATCATTTTTTCAATACTTTTGAATAAGGGATTTTATAAAGAAAGTGCGCGCTGACTTTTGGAAACTTTTGGAAAGCTTCAAAACTAAAGAGCTTCGGAAAAGTTAATAAGGAATAGAGGGTGAGTAAAGCAAATCAAAAGGGAAAAAGTAAACTATAACAATACAACATATTCCACTACAACTACCCCTCCCCCCCCAAAAAATACATTATTCTGGGGGCCTTTATAAATCTGTGCAGGAAAACAAGTGTCATTATTCTAGGGTCGTTTATAAATCAGAGGACCACATTAACCCTTGTACTGTTCCTTTCACCTGACATGGGCTATGGGCAGAGTGCCGGACCATCAGGGATGTTCAAGCTTATGAAAAAACAATTGATGGGCTTTCGGGTGCTCTGGTGAAATCCGGAAGCAGACTGATTATAGGAGACTAGCCAAAGTGCAGAGGGCTTAAGGAGAGAACAACTGTTATCATGCTGACGCAGATGATTTTTTTCCTGGAAGCCAGCCGGCTGCCTAATGTAGAGCTGTCCTTGGCAGGTTTCGATGGTATGGCGAGTGGCCTGGCTTAAATGGCACAGAGAGGAGGGCCGGTTCTAGCAGTCCTACACGAAGGTTTGGTCGGTCACCTAGTTTGAAATCCAAGGAACAACCAGGAAGATGACAAAGAGATATACATAGAGAGGAAGATTCATCACGAAGGATGGGGAGGCGCGAAATCTGCAAAGGAAAGATGTGTACTTCCACAGTCCGCGTCTTGGCTGTGGCATGCGGCATGTTGCATGAGACATGAGGCATTGGCCAGATTGCAGAAGTGTGCGACGTAGTTGTGCTCCAATTGATATTCATATCGGTAAGTATATAGTACTTAAAAACCCAGAACCACATCATGACATCTTTGAGAATCCCATACTGAAACACAATGTGTGGAACACTCCAAATTAAAGGCTGCAGCTTACAGCAGGCAAGCCATGAAAAACATTGCTTGTGTGCAAGTATTAGCGCCCATTTGAGGGGCACAGGGCAGAACTGAGCAGTTTTGAGGATGTGTTCGATTTCATGAAGGGCAAGTTCGACATCGAGGCCTATTTTGCAAAGCCCCTTGTCAGGTACCCTTCCTTCTCACGTGTTTTATAACGTTGAGCCAAAATGTTCGGCCACTGGCTAGAGTCTAGAGGCGCGACAGATGTAGAGAGAAGGAGCCTTCTAGGCGATTATCCCAAAGTCTCCAAGTGGCTTGTTTGGAGTGTTCTGCTGCCGTACCAGATTTCCACTTGAATCCACTTGACACAGGCAAACAAAGGCACAAGTGCGGCAAAAGAACCTCATCGGGGATCCGGATAGGTTGTTCTTTTGTGCTTTAGTGTTCCTTGTGCTGTGAGCACTTTTGAAGACAACAATCCCAAGCCTCACGGGTTGGGTGCCAGAGCTCTCGTAAGATCTACCCTGTATCAGCAGCATAAGTGTTTGAGTCCAAGTCCGACATGCTCCTTGCACGTGTGACGATGAGAAAAGAGGCACGCAGACTTTGGAACCTGGAGTGCCTAGCCGTCAGCAATTTTGTGTCCCCTTTGAGCATACCATAGCTTACCCACATGCTCCCTTCAGCCCAGGTTGGCTGCCAATGGCACCAAGGAGAAGACCATCAAAGGAATGAAACCTATTGCGATTGAGGTGCCATGATGTTACATAATTGTCAATCATCATAATGTTCGCTGGATTTTCCGGCTTGTGATGAGTAGAGCCAGCTGCATACTTGATGCACACAGCACTTGGCATGTTCACGATTGAACCATCGATCAGCCTGTCAATTCAAAAAGGCTCAAGATCGAGACAGTTGGTGTCCTGCGAAGCCGGCCAGAGTCATGACACTGCAGGATGCCGTGTTTCACTCGGCATTGCAAGAGATTCAGCGACAACAGAAAGTCTGCTGTGAAAGTATGGACAAGTTCAGGAATCAGCACAAAGAATGGCAAGACTCCCTAGGAGTCTTGTTGGCACAGATGACCAGCTTCGAGGCAGATGCTGCTGTACAATCAGAGGATGCTAGCATTCAGCTCCGTGCAGTCTCACCAACGCCTTCTTCCAATGCTACTGGCTTGGAACATCGTTCCCACAGCCTTCCCCTCAACAAATTGACTGATCACCAGCATGATAATGGACACTTGCCGAGCCTTGTGGAAGAAGTTATGATGGATCAAGAGTGCAAGGGTGACCCTCAGAGCTGGTGGGCACAGAGGCGTAGACTCTTGACCCAATTCGTGGACTCAACATTGTTCGAGTACATCACGGGTACGATCATTTTTGCAAATATTGTTATCATCGGCATAGAAGCAGACATGACCTTGAAGTCCGGGGAGCCTAGTTGGTCCCAGCAAGTCGAGCAAACATTTCTGGTGGTTTACACGCTTGAGCTGATACTACGCGTTCTGGGAGGGAACGCCGAAATCTTTCAAAGCTGCTGGTTTCTGATGGACTGGCCGACCTTTTTTTTTTTGGGGGGGGGGGTGTTGAAAACTTCGAGCACACTGTAGCACGCAAGACTCTTAATCTGAAATAGTTTGCGCTAGCACCTGCCCCACTAGAAGCGGAGAGCGTTCCCTTGTGAGGACTTCTTCCTAGTTTGCGTCAGCGTGATCGCAATTGTCGTGGCGCCCATCATGACGGGAGGTGGCTCCGGCATGGATGGCTTTGAGAAGCTCTTAGTGGTCCGTGGCCTTCGTCTTCTGAGATTGGCTCGGGTGCTGCGAATGGTGGGTCGTTTCAAGGTAGTTTGGCGCTTGGTATCGGGCCTATTGACCGCATGGGATACAATGCTTTCTGCCACCGTCTTGATCATACTGTGGCTCTTTATTTTTGCATGCGACTCGATATGGCAGTCAAGACAATTTCCACCTATTGGACCTACAGGGGATTCAACTGGGTTCAAAGGTCAAAAGGAACCCATGGAACAAACAACTTTAGACTGTCTTATTTTCCTTTATGTCCCTTCTTCAAGGAATTTGAAGGTCGATCTTCATGCTCTTGGGACAATCCAGGCATAGCCGTGGAGATCATCAGCAGTGACCCAGACCTGCTGCAAGACAGCGACACAGGTCCCATTGTGGTTAATCACTTTGGTACTCTCATGCAAGCCATCTTGACCTTGGGACAATTCGTCACCTTGGATTCCATTGCTGCAGTGTACTACCCATTGATCATGGTGAGACCATGGTTGCTGATGTACTTTCTGCCCGTGATGGTGCTGATCTCTGTAGGCCTCATGAACCTGGCTCCATGGCCTTTAGATGCTGTTAGTCCAATCAAGAAGTCAAAGGCTCCATTGGATGACAGGATCCCGTTGCACTAGCACAAGGCCTTCAGAAACTTACATTTCACTGCATACTTGAGTGCATTTGTGTCTGCATTGACTCCCAAATTCTCGCAACATCCCTAAACTTGAGACTTTAGACTTGATGGCAATACCCGCACATTGTTCGGCAGCCACCTATGCATGGTTATATAATGTTATACATATATATTATGCTGGTTGTGATCTCCAGCGAGAGGGGACTCCAGTGTGGGGAAGTCATAAAGAATGCCCCGCAAAAAACGCTGACGGTCTTGTGGTGAGATATGTAATGAGTTCAGAAGGTGGCGGGGTTTGACTGTGATGGCTGTGATGTACGTGTAACAGTGTAACATCTGAAGAGTTGCCGGAATCCAAAGATCATCTCATTTGATACTGCACCAATATCAACAATGAGAGTTTCATTTGAGGTTACGGCTGTTTTGGTGGAACACGCTCTCTCTCATGCCTCCCGGGAAGAAGAGTTGGCGCGACAACGCACCAAAGACAAGATTAAGCTGCCTGGTTGTGTTTCAAAGTTTCAATCTGGTTTCTTGAGGCTTCCTTTCTTAACCTAATATGTTTTGGAACAGCACGGAAAGATGGGTACGCTTATTTATTCCACCTCTACCATGCCAGGACAGCCCTACCAGAGCTGCTGAATATCTTCCAGTCATTGGATGCTGATGGCAGTGGCCAGGTGACGCGAAGCGAGGCAGCCAATGTGCCGCTAAGCGTGCTACCTCCAAAGGTCTTGCAGACAGTCTCAGTCGAAAGCACCTCGGCGGGCCTGCATCGGGTGATGTTGAACTGGTCGAAGCTTCCTGGTTTTGAGCCTGGCTGGATTGATGGGGAGTGCATATAAAAGTGCACATTTAAAGGGGTGGCTATGTGTATCATATGGCCTTGCACTTGCATGTTTGAAATTGTTTAATAGCTAACTTACATGTCACACATGTCAATAACCATGCATAGTGATTTCATTTCGGATGTGTTGAATATATCAAAGCGAATTGCTTTACTTTTTTGTGCTATATACTCTTTTAAATAAGTAATGAGGTCACTTCCTCACTAATTCTCCGGGTGCGCCTGCAATTCCTCACAAATTCAGGTTCCGAAAGGTTGGGAGTTGGGAGGAGTTTTGAACTTCAATGAATCCTTGGAGCCCCGAAAGTCGCTGGAAGTTCCTTTAGGCCCACAACCCTGAAGAAAGGGTTGAAGATCAGAGGAGGTACAATTTGCAAAAACTTGAATTCCCTCGACCTTGGACGCTCTTGAGTCCGTAGTGTCGGTATGTGTCAGTGTCCTTAGTGGAACAACAGCTGTCATGCTGTAGAATTCTTTGGGACACTTGCCTTAAATGATTGTAACTGACACTGTAAGAATACCCCGCAGAATGTGAGTATTCAGCAGCATCCAAAGTTCATTGAGATACGTGCCTTTGCACCCAAACATGACATTCAAGGGACGGAAAGGACTGCTATAAGCTATTAGTGTGTGAGGAACTTATTATCACAGGCTTGAGGTGTGATGTATTTCAATTTCGGACCTTTTCACCAAAAATTGCTTGTCACAAGACGAAGGAGTATCCAACGGTGAACTATAAAGTTGGAGAATGCGGGACTGCTCTTTTTTTGCAGTATCTTTGTCGTGGCTGGAATGTGTGATGTGATTTGGCTTTAGTTGGCCCGCCATGGCCCGCCTAATTCCTGATAACCAGTCTTATCGCGCTTCTTGTCTAAAGTATTGAATTAAGCCCTTAATTCTTGTCCAACAAACTATTTTCCATCAGACCATACAGTACCTATATAAATATAGCATTGCCCCTAATGAGCAGAGGGCAAATCATTATTCACACACAAGCATCGAAGAGCAAATGGTAAAGCTATGCGCTACACTCCCCAAATCAAACGTACCCCTGGCAGCAGTGAGGACCCAAACTAACATATCCCAAGCCTCTCCGGTGTTTCCTGGGGAATTGCATGTAACTTTTGCTTTTCGGTAGCTTCAAGAAAAGGTCCAAAAACATTGCTAACCTGGCCTGGGGCAACCATGCATATTGCAATTTTGGTCAAAAACGTGACCATTTTAGGTGGCTATGTTAGTCCGTGCAACTAGGAATTTTGCCATTCTGGAAGAATCAATGCCCCTTTTGGAGGGCTATGTGAGTCTTTGCACGTGCCGAAACAGAGTAACATGGCCACCCCCAAATGAATACAGTGAATGAGACCCATGATAGCCATGCTCCTGGTGCATGTGAACAGTTGTTCTTCAAAACCCAACCATCTGAAGTCTACAGTAGAGCTTCCAACATCTTGCTTCTTTGAGGGATATTGGTGATGAAACTGTATGTAGTTATTTCGAGAGAGAGAGATTTTGGATAGGTTTCAAATCTGATTTTGGATAGGTTTGAATTCGCATAGGGATGCATAGGGATGTATCTTGGCAAACATGTGAACACATGGACATGTTAGCAGCCCCATGGGCACCCAGCCGCTTGGAGTCTGGAGCTTCCAAAGTCTGACTTGTTTAAGTGGCACTCAGGAATACAATATAATATAGTAAAGAGAGAGATAGATATTGGATATGTTGGGTATGTATCTTGGAAATGATGTGCCTGCATGGACATGTTAGTCCTGGTCTGTCCGGATCAAAGTCAACCCCCAAAACACGTCCAGACTCCTAACACGTCCCTCTGTCCTTTGCCAGCCACCCGTGTGTGTGTGTGTGTGTGCATGTGTTTTTTCTTTTTCTGAGCATTCTTGTTTCTCTTAACCCCAGGTGAAACATGGGCGCTTGCTCTGTACGTTGCTTTGTGCAAAACATACATTGAACTCTGGAACAAGAAAAACAATTGAAAACTCAGGTATCTGTACTAGGAGGGCTATGTTAGCACGAGAGCAATAGCAAGCACCTGCCACAGAATCCTGCGGAATCTTGCTAACATATCCTCCTCACAGACACCACTTGTGCCCTTTCAGCATCTTTCGACTAACGTAGCCCCAAAAAAAAATAACACTTTAGGGGGTTACGTTTGATTTGGGGAGAGTAGTGTGTTCTCCTCTACCGTTGGGCAGATAAACAGTCGATAACGTGTGCATTCTAGGCTAGTTGAATTATGTTGACTACCCTGTAAGTGAGGCCAGAAGGCTGGCCGTTCACTTGCTTTCCCTGCAATTCCCTGTAAGTTTGATTATTATTACCACTACTCCTGATTCTACTTTATAGACTCCAGCTTTGTGTCAAAACATTTCTCCCATTCAGATTCCAATACTGTCACATCATTTAGGTAGCAGCTTAGCATATTTTTAATGTTCATCCTTGTGCTCACTAGAGCACTCAGTATCTATCACTATCTCGCATTTCTGCGGTGAGGTTTGGGCTCCGTGTCAAGTGAGACCAACACAAACCAAAGTCTTGTTCATTCACAGCCTTGTTCATTCACCTGCGTTGGCTGCTGGGCAGTTCTAATCAGGTGATACAGTATACTGTAAAGGGTACAATGTAGATAATATCAGATAAGGGGGCTATCCAAGAACATGTCGCCCTTTGCCTTTGGGGGCGTGGTATATTGAAGTCTGTAAAATCCCTGCTCGAGGTATGGAGGATCTTTTTGATCTGCTTGATGTAGATCAAGGTGGTACACTTAGCCAGGCTGAATTCTTGGAGGGCCTTTTAAACCTCCTGTTGCTAGACGTGCCAATTTGGGCAATTCAAGCGCTGAAGTTGCTGAGACCAATGCGCCAGCGACTCATTGACATGGCTCGAGACATCAATGACATCAAGCATGGTCTTGACGTGATCGAGACGTGATGTTCGACAGTTTCACCACTGAATGTGCAAACAATTTTGGCTTTTGGCTTCCGCAGAGTGGAAGAGGTAGGGTGGTACGCCTCCAAGTGAGGACAGACTTTGATGACAAAAGGAGACAGAACTGAGGGAACCTGTTTTGATTGTCGCACCTGGACGCTCGAGAGTTATATATATATATATACATACATAATGACTTTGCTTTTGCATTTTGAGAAGAAGCCTGAACCCAGGTCAACAAAATGATTCAAGAAAAGCTGCTCGGACCGCACCAGGCCAGCCATGCCATGCCTGCCCAACCTCAGCTTTTGGTGGATCCATGTGGATCCTTTCTTTTCAGCCACATGTTGTTTTTGCATTGCATGCTGCCCTTCGGGCTTCTTGTTGTGGGCTGGTGCATCTCATCCGAGGAAGCTGCAGCCAATTATTCGAACATCATACTACAGATGTGCGTTCCAGCTGCCTGTCTGAAATGAGCATAGTTCACTCTACATGTTGCGTGCACTTTCATCATTTTTTGGCGGCAGAGGACCGTTCAATGCCACACGTGACGTTCCATGATCCTTCAAAACCTGGACGTTTTGTTTGGGCCAGAAAAGAGAACTCAAACGGCAAAGATTCGCCCAGCGGTCCAGGCTGGCAACTGACAACAAAGTGCGCATTTCACTGGACACCCAGATGTCGCTGCTGAATGATCCTTTGAGATGGATGAGATGGGCTGCGGTGGTTCGGGATTCGGCATCATCCAGCATCCAGATTTCAGCTAGAACTGATTATTGAGACTGCTTTTTGTTATTTTGTACTTGATGCACGCACATCCCACCACAAGCAAGAAGCCTTGACTCGGCCAAGAACTGTTGTGAAATGACACTCGTTATGAGCCCTCAAGTCAATGCCCGCCTGTTTATTTCAGCAGTTTACTTTGAGCCAAATACTTTCGCCAAGCGGGGCCGTTGCAAGTATTGGCAGTGCCGAGGAATACCAGGCGAATGGTCATCCAAACAAACCATGGTGTTTCTGTGCTGCATTAATGCATGCTGCACGCTTGTCATACTTCATGTTTTTGTTACTACTTTGGCACAGTTGGCGTGTGTACTTCAGCACAATATTTGCCCCTATATACATGGAACTTGTCACTTCTCCGCTGAGATGTTGACAAAGTCTAAAAGAATATCTTTCTGTCAAGTTTCAGGCCTTGTTGGGACTGACACCTTGCAGAGAGACGACATCTATCGGTTTCCGCATCTGCGTTGCAGTATGCAAGCTGTCATGCTCACTGACAATGAGATGGTGTTTGCCCTCAGATACTTAATGCCGTCTACACCCACTGTTATCCACGTACTTGCTACTTGCTTATCAAGCGTAAGACCTCATATGGTTTTGAACTTTGGCCAATATATTCAGAGTGCCCATGCCACCTTTGACCCCTTCATTGCAGAGGTATGCCATCCTGGAAATCAAACTCCAGGATGTGTCAGAAGCACCGCTCTGGCTCCGGCAAACACTCAATGATATTGGGGCTTGCTGGACATGTGTTTATGATGACTGATGATTCTTTTGTTGAGGTTATGTATCGGGCAGCGCTTGTTGTGCCAGGCTATCCAAGTCCACAAGTTTTCGAAGTTCCAGCCATTTGGTTGATATTTGAAGCTGCGTCGGTTGTTGTGGGAGTCCAAATACGCTGGTTGACAAACAGCGGCAGCTGTGCCCCACAAGAGTGGGCGTAGAGCACACTCAGAGTTATGATGCAGGGCGACGTGTGCTTTTGTCAGGTGGTTGTTGCGAGGTTCTTTTTCATATTCACGGTGCTACCAAAAAAGAGAAGCAGAAAGATTCTCGCAGCATTGTGATTGCAACGTCGAGAACAATAGCTGAGCTCAAGTGGCAACAACTAAAACTTGAACCGCCCCATTGATCCACTCACATCCCCTACCGTCATCGGGTACAATGAGCTTTCTGGACCATGGTCCCCAGGCATGCGATGGCCTTCCTCCATCCGCAGCGAGTGCCCATTCTGCCTCATTGGCATCAAGACTTCGATGAATGGCACAAAGCCAAGGACCGAGCAACTACTTCGGATTTCAAGCCCAGTGTGACATTCCCAAGTTACCGTAAAGGGCTCAACTTGAAGGACTTTGAAGCTAAGGGTGACGACGGTTGGAGCACGGGCTTCTGAATGCAGTGGACACATAAATTGTCACATTGTCATCGTCAATTCCAAGTGATTCTCGTGCAAGCGAGAGCTCCCATTTGAGGAGGAAAGGAAGCTGCGTGTAGGTGACATGGTGGCAGCAAGGGATCGACCTCGCGGTCTCGGCTTTGTGTGCCCTTTCGTTTTAGTGTACGCCAACTCTGGGAATGGACTCAATTTCGGAAGAGTGTGTGAGTGAAGTGAAGATATACAGTCTACTGTATATGTATAATATATATTCGTATATTTGTGTATATTTATCTATATATATATATATATCAATCCCAGCTTTAGTCACTCGGCTCCGCACCTAGGCAAAGGCAACCTGTCCGCAATGCTTCGAAGTGAGCCTGCAGTTGACGACCTTGCTGCGCCCTGTCATTTTTGACTTTGATGTGGCAGTTTCGCGACTTTCACTCTCAACCTCACTGTCGCAAAGAGAACTCTTGCACACTGGTGGAGCCACCAAGCCCCGTCAGTACCTGTGAAATCTGGAAAGACGTTGAAATCTTGACAGGCATTGCATGTCTACAAATCTCCTTGCTCAAGGTGCCCAATGTGTCGAAGATCGTGGCACCTCATGGTGAAGGACACTTCCTGAAGGACCCTCGCAGCTGAGCGGAGCCTTCTGCGACATGAGTTTGGGATTTCAGCCTTTGTCCGCCAGACTGTTCTTGCGCAAGGACATGGAAAATCTAGATCCCAAAGCTGTCTTTGCCAACGAGCGGACTTTGCTGCACTATGCTGAGAAAGGCATGCAGCTGGCCAGCAAAAGTATGCAATTAAAAGTCAAAAGTGATTGCTTCAAGCCACTCAAGCCCTCGCACAAATTACAGTGGAGTTTATGGTCAACTGTCAACGGTTTTTAGATTCCACGCCACAGTCACTCCCTGGTCATCGCATCACCCGCTTGTGCAAGGTATGTGGCTGCTGTAGCTGTGGTAGTTCTGCACCAAGGAGGCCGTTACAAGGCCGAATGCAATTTTTTGCATTGATGGGCTCAATAGTCTTGGCTGCAGGATCAGCCACAAAACGCGCAAAAGAAATGTTTCACAACGATGCAGGTCCTTGGTGGGCTGCTAGTGGCCAGCTACTGAGGAGGGAGAATGATCAAGAAGATAGACCGATGAGGTTCATTTGTTCAGTTGCCTCTATTGAATGAGTTTCTTAGTCTAGTAGCTTCTTGTTACTAGTAGCGATGTCAGAAGGTACTAGTAACTAGTAGCTTCTTGCTCCTAGTAGTGGCGGCCTTACTAGCAGCTTCTTGTTACTAGTAGCGATGCCAGGAGGTACTAGTAGCGTAGTTGCTCCTAGTAGCGATGCTCTTTGTTACTAGTGGCTTCTTGTTACTAGTAGCGATGCTAGGAACTACTAGTAGCGTCCTTGCTCCTAGTAGCGATGCCATTTGTTACTAGTAGCTTCTTGTTACCAGTAGCGATGGCCTTTGACTGTTACTTGTAGCTTCTTGTACTCGTAGCGTTGCCAGGAGCTGCTAGTAGCTCATTGCTCCTAGTAGCGATGTCTTTTGTTACTAGTAGCGATTCAAAGAGCTACTAGTAGCGTCCTTGCTCCTCGTAGCGATGCCCTCGTTACTAGTAGCTTCTTGTTACTAGTAGCTAGCGGTGCCCTTGTTACTAGTAGCTTAGTAGCTCTTTAAAAAGGAGCATCAAGACAAGAACTGCATAGAATAAGGCGATGACAGCAGTATACTATGTTTGGATATTGGTGGCTTGGCACGTAGAGGCGTAGAGTCGTATTGAGCCCAGGTACTTCAACATATTTCAACTCTAAATGTGGCTCACTATAGTTAGTAGGGGTAGGTAGGGGCATTTGCGATCGGCGATTAGGTCGAGAGCTTTTTGATGGGCCTAAAGTAAACTGACCATGTGCCAAAAGGCATCACTATCACTCTCCTACAAGCTGCGAAGGCTTGTTCATGCACAGTACGTAGCGCCATGTGATGTGACTGACTGACTTCAACTCATTCCAATCTTTGCATGTCAACCAGCCAAGGCAAAGCCCACCCCCGCCCCCTAATATTATATTCCATCTACTGTATATGATTCCCCAGGTGGCCTACTTTCAGCGGCTTGATGAGATCAAAGGACGCTCAAAGGTGGTGAAGAACCGCCACATGGCAGCAGCTTCTGAGTAGACTTCTCCAAGTTTCCATGCAAAGCTTCGCATCGTGGAGAGCTTGCAGAAGGGGAGAGAGAGAGGGCACTGCCGGGCCGGAGAATCTTGGAAGTTGTTGAGCATGTTGTGCGTTGGCAGGTTAAGGAGTTGGTTCTGGCCGCATATATAGTGTTGTTCCGCAACTACTGGGGTGGACATTTGCAGAAGTGGGGTGCCAAGCACAAGGCCACAAGCCAATGTTTGCAAACGGGGTTTTTCACATCGCTGACAGACACAGAACCCCCGCATACTGGGAACCGGCGACAGGTGCCTGGGGGTGGATCGAGACCACGAGTCTCAAAGTATCCTGTAGTTGGAGTATTCGAGGCGAAGCAAGACTTGATTGGAGCATCGGGCCGTTGCTGGCAGCCACCATGGTCTCCGTGGTCCTGGGATTCTCCTTGTACAAGGTGGGCCTTTTGTGGTGCACCGTGGTGTGTAGATTGTGGTAGCTGATGTAGATGGATGAGGTTTCAGGTTCAGGCAGTTATTTGCTCAACAGTGAGCAGTGTCGTATGAACCAGCTGAATACTTCAGGGCCTGGGTTTTGATAAGCTTTGAAGGACAAAGTCGGATTCCGCAACCATATTAGTTGGTTGGATTCCGCAACGGGTTCCATGACTGAGATTCTGCAACTAATTATGATTCGGCAACTGTCTTGCTTCTGCAACTAGGGTTCCGCAACTGGGATTCCACAACTGTCTCAGCAAAAAATAGACATACAGTAATCCCCGTTGCTGCCGACAATTCTAATTGGGTGTGGTTAAGCACGATTTTGTCATTTCTTTTAGTTAAGAAACATGACGTTGGATAATTTGAGGGTTGACAGGAAAAAGGTTTTCACACTCAATTGACATTCTTGGATTCTTGGCTGTGCGTGCATGTTTGTGCTTTGCTAAGCTTTATTAACGCATCGTATATTACTTTTGAAACACCCTTGAAGACGATGAAACAACGGTTTCATTGCGGCTCAAAGGGCAACAAAAAAAATCAGCAATAATGTAAAGATAATATTCTCAGACGTAATAGATAACAAACATAATAACACAGATATCAAGGACACTTCAAGGCAGGAAGTGTTTCCTCCAATATGGATGTCCGGTGTTTCTTACAAATACCTGTTGTTTGCATCTGGAACCCCTACGTACAGGGTCAGGAGGAAAATCTCTATGCTCCCAGACTGGCATCAACAATTGTTTTGACAAAAACAGAACTCAACATGACTGCAACTCTTGATTTTGTTTCTTGAGATTTTGCCCCAGCTTGTGGCCTCAGGGCCCACAAAGAACAATCAAAGAGGGCGAGAAGATCTCAGCCGCAAGGCACCCTTGTTTCAGAACAGTCGAACAGTATTTGCTAGGTGACTGCCTGCTGATGGTTTTTCATTAGCATAGCTGTCACCAAACAAAAAACTAAGAAAAAACTATATATAGAGAATTTCTGACAGATACCTTTTTGGGGGACTGGTTGCCAAGCGCAGAAACCAACAAACTTAAACACGCAATGGATCGTTGCCAGGCTCTGATTGAGTGTGGCTTATTGGCCACAGGATGCCACAGGTAAGGATTGGACCAAATCTTCCCCTGTCTTGTCAAAAAATACTTGTAAATAAAATGACATGCCAAGCGAACTTTCCCAGACCCCCATTTTGTATTGATCAGTGGCTCCACAGAAACATATATGATGCTTGACAAGCAGCTGGCAATATTGACACATGTTTCTTGCATTGGTTTGGTGGTCTTGTACTGTTTTTTTGTTTGCTGTTGGGTTAGTGCTTCACCCGTGGCCTGGATTTTTTTGATGAACACGCACAGTTTTGCTCTTAGAATGAGTTGCGTTCTTTCTGATATGTTTACCTTGTGGCTGATATTTTCTCGCCCTCTTTGATTGTTCTTTGTGGGGCCCTGAGGCCAAAAGCTGGGGCAAAATCTCAAAAACATTGAGCTCAAGAGTTGCAGTCATGTTGAGTTCTGCTTTTCTTTTGTCAAGACAACTGTTGATGCCAGTCTGGGACTTCATAGAGTTTTTACTCCTGACCTTGTACGCAGGGGTTCCGGATGCAGACACAAGGTATTTGTAAGAAAACGGGACATCCATATTGGAGGAAAAACTTCCTGCCTTGACGTGTCCTTGATATCATTGTTTTTTTTTGTGTGTGTTTCTCTGTTTAATTTGCAGACCTTTACAGTCTTGATCCTTTTTTGTTGCCTTTAACCTTTTGAACCTCAATGAAACTGTGTCTTTGAAAACGTTTTCGATTTGAACCGGCTTCCATGGGTGAGCGTCAAGGTGAGGCTCAATGTCAATGCGAAAAAGCGGTGCAACCTGCCTCGATAAATCCTACTCACTAAGAAGCTGCTGTCTTTGTCAGTTACACAAAGCATGTCAACAAATTACATGTAGTGATGGGGACACAACTGTGCAAAAAAGTGTTTGTGCAGAGTTTCACTGCTTACAAGTCGGCAACGAGCTGCACTAAGAGGCATTGAAATTGAGGCTCTTTAATTAGTCCTGATGTCATCAAATCTAAGAACTTAAACGTAAGCAAAGAAACTCCGAGAACATCCACTTTATGGAGGCCATTCAGCCGATTGACTGTGGGCTATGCTAAACCTCTATGAAATGTAAAATCAAAGACCGTGGCTTCAAAAATGATTCCAGTGCAACGGCATTCAGTTTTGTGTTCAAAGTTAGTTTTGTCATGTTTGGTCCACTTACATTCTCCAAAAATGATCAAATCATGTGAACTAAGTTTGCAACCTCAAAAAGATCAACAATCGGCTGATAAAGTCCAAGGTCGACTCTCGGTGCGCTTTGCTCCACTTCGCACTCGGCTTTTCACCAACATGCCGCGCTTAGGATAGCGAGCCTGCCACATCATGTCAATGCTGCTTCAAAGGCTTGAAAATGTTACCAACAATGCAATTGACAAATAACTGATGGAGGCAATAAACTTCAGTTATTCAGAACATGTTCCATTTTTGAAACTTGTAAGAATCTTGCCTTCAGCGGGGTTCACCGACGCGATGATAATGCCAACATGTCCTGCCCCCCTTCCAAAACATGACGCGCCTCCATCTTCAAAGATCTGAAATCTAACATGGCAGACCCTTTGAAAGAACCACAATGGCTACAAAGCGGCGTGGCATCATGTGTTTGTTTCCATGTTTTTATTGGCATTGTTCTTGATGTTATTCATGCTTCATGCTTGATGATTTTTAATGTTCTGTGAGCCTGAATGAAAAAGAACGATTATATATGATTATATAATTGTTCGATTGTCTCCTATTTTTCAGGACTGTTTCATGACTACATGTCGCGGAATGTTCTTGAAGTCAGGTTTTCCAAACCCATTTTAGATAACTCATCAAACGTTCACTTTTTAAAACACATTCATAAAACATTCAATATTCTAAAGCTCTATGATTTGAAACACATCTTGCCTATTACACCCTATTCTATATTCACCAATGCTTGAACAAAGTGAACATACTTGACCTTTCTTCTCGGTAGCAACCGGGATGAAGTATCGAACAGATGCTGGCAGGTACAGGTGGAGATTGGGGTGGTGTAGGGTGTGAGGGGGTTGAGGGGTTGGGGGCTGACTGTCATGTCCACAGCTCGGATTCCACAACGATCTTGATTCCGGACTTTCCAGTTTCAGAATCGGTAATAGTAATCGGTAAGTCTCAGAATCCAGCTCCAACCAATATTGAAAGCTTTGACAGAATCACGGCAATGACCATGAACATTGTTCAACCAGCTCCATCCCTGTCAGGGTTGGCACGGCCTTTTGCAGCGTCATGAGCTGGCGTGAGTCAAGATTTTTTCTATTCCCAGACATGAGTCCCTCAGCGACCAGATACTGGGACCCCGGCGCACTGAAAGTTATGTATTCAATGATGCCGATCATGTGCAGTGCAGCACCGCCTGCATTGCTTGCTTCGTAGGATTCATTTACAACCGAGAGAGGCTGCCAAAGTTGTGGCGCGACTGTGCTGTAAAGTGCTCTTACTGTAATGTCATAAAAGCCGCCCATTGTGCTGCCAAGCCACACTCCAAGGCTGCTCCCGATCGCATTCGGAACGCCATGAGCAATGATTCGGAAAAATGCCTGCGCATGTGGTTGGGAAGTATTTCCATGTCGCAAAAAAGGCAGTTTGATATATATGGTTCCCTTGTTGCCTTTCCAGCGATGGCCTTGATGCTCCTAGGCAGCAGAGTTGTGGGGCATGGCCGAATCATTGGCTGAGCCTGTGACGAGCTCAACTCAGCTGGGCCACGAGGCACAGCAGACACCAACTCAACACACCAGCCAGGATGATGAGTTTTGACCAGGTCACTTTTGGCCGTGCATATGTATATACCGTATATACCACATGACTCCGTACTGGAACCATCAGCGTGTTTGTAGCCCCAAGGTCACTAGCGCCATACGCTATATAACTTGCCCAGGAAGAAACACTCAATGCAACAATACACTACTGGCTGATGGTGCAGCAGTGCGGACCAGCAAATTCTTGCGCGGTTCCCTGTAAACAGTGTTGTTATTGTTTGGCATTCCTGGTGGGTTGGAGGCAGGAGGACACATGGCAACGATTGAAAAGATGTAAAGGCAACAATAGCTGCAACAATTACAAGCAAGCTGCGCTTCGGCTTTGGAAGAAGGTTTTGACAGCAAACGTTGCAGCAGCCCTACACGTTTAGCTTACTGTAGCTGCTTGTAGTCCGCTCAGTTCACTCATTTCGGAATGCTGAGGTTTTGAAGAATCTGACAAATAAGCCCTTTCCGGATGTGCCAGACACCCGGTCATTCTCAGCTCACTTGACATAGGTTGCCAGTTGCTTATGATGTGGCGTAGTGAGTGCGAAGTGGGAAGCAGCAAGCCAGGAAGCCAACATATTATAGAAGGGCGGAATTGGAGCTAAGCCAAGTAGGTTTGTGACCCCTTTCTTGGCCTTTCTTCCACTGTGAAGATGCGGGATGGCATCAGAGTAGGGCAGTGCAAGCGTGTTGAGAAAGACGCAGCGCTGGAGTGGCTGCCACAAGCAGAATGCAGTGTGATTGGTGAGGAGGAGCACGACCGCGAATAAACACTGAGCAAACCGAAGCAGCAAGTCGGGCTGTAAACTATAAGCCTTTCCCGTGTAATTAAGAGGAAACTGAAAACGACCCAGTTCCTGGCATGTATTCACGAAAGGTAGCTTCGGCTACCTGAGTTGTCTTTGCTTTAGCAATTATGTATTGGGTGTGGTGAACTCTTCCCGTGCTTGATTTCGATGGTTTTAGAAAGGGTTTAAACTGTAAGGCCCCCCCCATTCGACTCCACCCCGCGCCGCGGAGAATGTGGTAGTGATTTGGCGTATCCACTGTGGTCCATTGCAATCTGTGGTTTATCACGAAAGCTAGCATGCTAGCTGAGTTCTTCTTTGCTTTAGCAATGTTGTGGTGGGAGGGGCTGCGTGCCTTAAAGATTGATATATCAAGCTAACCCCCCTCCCCGCCCCCCCCCC